CCAAAAGAGAGGATAGATTTAACAAACCCATAGGAGACAAAATCATTCATAAAATAAACACATTTTTTTTTTTTTTTTTTTCTCTTTCCGTCGTAAGAAGCAAATAAATACATATTTATAATACTGCAAGTGAACATTCTTTCTTACAATTGTAAATTTAACAAGCTAAATACTTAAAATTCTTATAAATAATATGACATGAATAATTTAAACAAGCTACATAAACACTAATACAAGATGAGACCTTTACGTACTCGACTGTAGATCAATTCAGAGAGAATCTTGTGTTAACATAATATTATCCATTATATATCGTCATAGTTTGTATTTTCATCTAATATTCTATTTAGTGACATTGGGTTCCTCACCACAATCATTTTTGCACACACAAACGAAATGAAGTGTTACAGTACCTGTAATAAGTATCTAGTTAATTACAGATTAATCTGTAACTTAGGTGCCCGTTAACAGAATTTAATTAGGTAAACATAGATAATTTATATTATGTAAACTTACAGAAATTAAATTATTAAACTTACAGAATTAATAGTAAAAATTTACAGAATTAATTATGTAAATTTACAAAATTAATTATGTAACTTACAGAATTTAATTAGGTAAACCTACAGAATTTAATTATGTAAACTTACAGAATTTACTGGGTAAACTTAACAGAATTTTAATTAGGTAAACTTACAGAATTTAATTACGTAAACTTACAGAATTTAATTAGTAAACTTAAATAATTTTAATTAGGTAAACTTACATAATTTACCCGCTATGTACTTACATAATTAATTAGTAAACTTACAGAATTTAATTTGCAAACTTATAGAATTTAATTATGTAAACTTACAGAATTTAATTATGTAAACTTACAGAATTTAATTAGGTAAACTTACAGAATAATTATGTAAACTTACATAATTTAATTATCTAAACTTACAGAATTTAATTACGTAAACTTTACAGAATTTAATTAGTAAACCTACAGAATAATTATGTAAACTTACAGAATTTAATTAGGTAAACTTAAATAATTTAATTAGGTAAACTTTACAGAATTTAATTATGTAAACTTACAGAATTTAATTAGGTAAACTTACAGAATAATTATGTAAACTTACAGAATTTAATTATCTAAACTTACAGGATTTAATTATGTAAACTTACAGAATTTAATCTGTAAACTTTGACCTAGTCTGTCCAATGAGAGAATATATGATTGTGACAGACGACATTCCAGAAACGACAGATAAAACAGGCAAATAGGACCGCTGAAAAGGGACCAGAGCCAAAGAAGACAAAACAGATAAAACATTATTTTTAAGATGGCAGACAACTGTCACTGTCACATATTCTTTTGTTGGTTATGATGACCTTTAACCACAGACTTAGCTAACCATGTTTATCAACACTGTTAGCTAAGATTCCAGATGGTATAGTATGGATGAGGGCGAATTTTTATGAAATTCTATAACTTGAATTTTGTAATGTTTACTTTTATGTAAACCGAATTATATCAGATGATATTAATAATGAATTTGCTTAAGATGTTGTTTTAAAAATCCTGTCTGTTCAGAACTATCAATAGCTACTTAAAACTGAGCATCTTATTCATTTTGTACATAGGCCCAATATATTTATAAATAAACTATATTATATCTGACTAAAACATCAAATAGTTTATAATTTGGGACAGGTATACAGCACTAAATTATATTAACTAGCCTGGATCCAACAGGATAATTTAGTTATGATTTAGATACATTATTCAATCTGTAACATATGCTTAAAGTAAGTAAATAAAATGTGTGGATTCCAACAAAAGTATCCACTCTAACCGTCAGCTAAACTGGGTGTTACCCAGCCGTACTTATCGTGAGTTCGTACCAGCGACCTGAAACTCTCTTCTGCCGTTCGTCGGTTGAAAACTTTTTGACCTTTGCTCTTTCGTTGTATCCTACCTTGGCCTTTAACCACACTGGCTGCGAACTGCATGATGACAGCTTCAACGGTGTAAGCCGAAGCCCATCCTCTTGGGGTTAGTAGCTCCATACAGATAGCTCCACCTGAAAATAAATAAAGATATATAGGGTGTTCTACTAAGAATAGCTCTCGATTGTATCTCGGAAATTGAAATGATATTTTTGTGGCGAGACTGTACGTTTGAGGACATACAGATGCACAGTCATTTTTGTACCTGAATAGAACATGCTACTTTTTTCAAGCGCCACAAATAATTTTTAAACAATTTCAAACGTTCCAAATAATATAAAAGATTTGAAAGTCATACCTCGTATGTAATTATATGCCTGTATATCGAGAAACTACGGTTATGCTCGTTGAATTTGATACTTTTGTCAGTTTAACAATATATTTTCGTACTTTTATGCTTATGTGCAAAAGTGCTTTTACTTTAAAATGACTTTTATACTGTCAATTACGCCGCAAAAATTAATACTTTTGTCGCTTGAAAAAACGTTTATGACTAGAGAGGCCATAAGAAATTACTGGAAAGTATTTTTTGATATCAAGATGCAGTTTTCGCTGAATTTTAAGCTTTATTTTTTCTTTTTACTATCAGCTGATATTACAAAATACTGTCGCATTTATTTTTTTTCTTTGAAAAAACGCGCGAAGTTCGTTAAATTGTAATACAGCGCCCCCTACGGGACGGCGTGAAATACAAAGCGAAAACTTCTGATTTCAGCCGTATACAGCGCTGCGGTCGGAATTTTAAAATCGACTTAAATCTTCGCCATCGGTATAGGTCATTACAATTAGCTGTTCCAATTGAAGAGGTTGCACTATATTATATTGGTGGTCCGGAACCGTAACTCGAAACTTCGGCAGCTTAATGAAACTAGCAAAATGCTTAGTTTTGAGGTACAGGGTGTAAAATTTCATTTTTTTTCGATTCTTTGTCAATTTCTGAAGTAATCAATAGAGGAAAATTCGTGTCTGTGAGTTTTTTGACTATGAAATTTTAATGTCAATATGCTTTTTGAGGGCGCCACCATATTTTAACTGGTTTGAAGAGGTATAACTTTTCGTTCGTATTCTGGGAAACTATTGAGTTAAAATATACATTTACGAGTTTTTACATAAAAATGGTAACTCGTTAAAAATCACATGAGTAGATTTCGAGATGAATATCAATTTTCAATACTTGTCGTCATTGACATAAATTAAACATGCTGACTAAATAGTTAGTTATACTGAAATCATAAATTTTAAATGTTTTGTGCCAAAAGTTCAACAGAAACTGTTTTATCATCATTTTTTCGAAGAAAATTTATGAATAATTAAAAAAGTTCGCAAATTTGTAATTTCAGTAAAATAACTCTATTTTACACGTTTATTTTTGTTAATAATGACATGTATTGACCATTTTTATTCTAAATATCTTGAGAACGGTTGCTAGTATTTTTATCAAGAGCTCATTTTACGTAAAAATCACGCAATGTATATTTTTCACTCAGTAGTTTTATACAGGTACGACGAAAGTTATTACTCTTGAAAACAGTCAAAACACACGTAGGTGGCGCCTCTACAAGTAAGAATCACATTGACATCAAAATCAAAATGTTCATGTCAAAAACTCCCAAACACCAACTTTCATCCAAATATTAACATTACTTCAGAAATTATTTGAAAATCAAAATAAAAATTTAACTTCTACACCCTGTATCTCCGTCACTTTTTTCCGGCATTTTAGGACATTTATACGAAATTTTGCTTATTTTATCTGCAGAATATACTGTTGAAGTTTCCGGAATACAGTTCGGAGCACCCTATATCTAAACTTCCTATTCTTACCTTCCATTACGAATCCTTTTTCAATTCGCGGCGATATGAGCCTCATAAATGGCGGCGCAAAGGGAAAGTTTTCTGGAAAAACCAGATGCAACAGAATGTAGCGGATACCCAGTTCCACCATGTCCTGCATGAGGTCGCTGTCTCCGTCCACTGTGTACAACTTAACGTACCATTCGAATAAATTGTCGTCGACTAGTTCGACGCTGAATATTGGGTCTTGTTTGGAATTCTGCAATCTAAAAAAAAGCCAGGCATTGAAAATATAGCAGGAGATGTTGATGAAACTGTTCTGTGGTATATTTATTATATGTAATATTAATGATGTAAATCAATTATTAGAGTAGATAGATGGGTATCCATTTTTATTTTATATTATTACTCAAAATCTCTATTGTATTTAATGGTTTTTCATCTCTTAAAACGCCGGTTATATTAATTCAGTAAGAAATAAATAAGTGGAACCAAAGGTCTCAAAAATAAATAATAATGGAACCAAAGGTCTGAAACAAGGGTGCTGTATTTCACCAACACTGTTCAAGATATATCTCGAACAAGTACCAATAGGGGATAACATGCTCTACACATTTTGCTTCGCGAACGATCAGGTGCTCATAGCACAAGATTACGATGACATAAATTATATGACACGTAAGCTTATAGAAGAATATCAGAAATGGGGACTCGAGATCAATACTAACAAAACAGAATATATGTGTATCGGAGGAGAACAACAAGATCTAATACTAGAAGAAGGGAAGAAAATTAAGTGCTGCACAAAATACGAATATTTGTGTATGCAAATCACAAATGATGGACTGTTGGATACAGCAATTAAAGAACGAAACCAACTTGGAAGGAATGCTATCACGGTATTAAATGGGATACCGTGGGACAAAAGCATAAACAACAGGAACAAAACACTAATATATAATACCATCATCAAGAGTATAACCACGTAAAGCTGTGAAGTGTGGCCAATTAAGGAAACAACAAAACGAATGCTGGAAACTACAGGGATGGATTTTTGGAGAAGATCAGCAGGCAAATCAAGACTCGAACGAATAACTAATGAACGCATAAGAGACGAGATAAAGGACAGTCAACTCATATGGTACGGGCATGTCCAAAGAATAGCAGAAATAAGAATCCCAAAGCAAATTATAAACTGGAAACCTGCAGGAAGAAGAAAACCGGGTAGACCGAGAAGAAGTTGGCAGGATCTCTAGGAGACCGTGCATGGAGACACAGACAGGCATGGAGAGATGGCATCGGAAGACATAGAACGTTTTAAACCGATTAATATATTATATAAGAAATAAATAAGTTATTTTTGCTGTTATTGTCTACTGTACCTTTGTAGATCGCGAAGTTCTTTCATCAGTCTTCTTGCGCGTACCGTTTTGTGTTGGGGGGCAGTCTCATCTTTGTTACTTTTGGCGCTGAACCCTGGCGAGGGGGTCTGACTAGAAGTGGCAGGAGAAACGGTGTCTTTGTACCCTGAAAAAGAACATATCTCTAATGTATTACGATACAGGGTGGCCCATCGAAAACGTTCTGCAAGGCATAACGGCTAGGGTATTCTTTTTTTCAAAAAATACAAAAACACGTCAATTTTGTTTGTGAGGGGGACAACTTTTGCCCCAAAAACGATTGCAATTTTTTCACCTTGAGCGGGTGTCATCCCCAAGTTTTTCGTCGGGAAGGGGTCAGGCACCGCACGAAGCTTTCTATTCTTATATTTCCCCGCCTCGCTTTTGAAAATCGATCGATCATTGTTGAGAAAATATGAGGATTGAAATTTGGAAAGCTTATTTAAACATTTATCAGAGTTAATGATAAGGATAAATTCTTCGACCAATTTGAGTTTTCTGTTATTTCTATTTACGCATTTTGCCACAGTGTTGAATGATCAGGCGGTAGTTGCCAGATGTTCTGTGACTTTAAACCGTGACAACTGTGCGTTGAAGTTCTTCTCAATATCGTTAAACTGACCTACAATAGAATCTCCAAAATACCAGTCCAGACGTTCAATTTCTGAGGGTTTTTTGTGTGCACCTCGTGAAAAAACACTAGGCTGTCCTCAGCCCAGTACCGACAGTTGTGCTGATTAACTACATCGTTCAAAAGAAAGTACACTGTCCGAAAAAAACGACATTAAATAGGAAATTATTATTCGCCACTCGTTCACATACTTGCTAAAATTGCAAGCGACGATCAAAATTGTCTTCGTTGGGTTCTTGTACGAACTGAATTTTGTACGGGTGGAACTTGCGTTTTTTTAATATCCTTTGGAAACTTGTACGTTTCTCGCCGGTTTCATTGGCTAATTTTCTTGTACTCAGCGTACTATCCATGGCAACTTGGCCCAATACGAATACCTCAATAGCTTCATTTACAACAGGATTTCCCTCTGCCTCTTTTTGTTTATAACGGAACCAGTTTCAGGAAATTTTGCTACTAACTCGCGAACAATTTTGCCATAAAGGTGTTTGTCAGAATGGCGTTCATTGAATATCTGCGCAAACCCGATTGCCGCATTCATTATTTTTAAAATAAAGTTCGATAATAATAATTGTTCATAATTATTAAAAGCCGAATGATGTTGAGAAGAACTTTAACGCATAAGTCACAGAACAGCTATCTAGCAACTACTGCACCTGATCGTTCAACCTTGTGGTAAGTGAAAAATGCGTAAACATCTAGAAATAATAAGAAAAACAGCAAGTTGGTCGAAGGAATTTACCCCACAATACTTGATAAATGTTTAAATAAATGCTTCAAATTTCAATCCTTCATATTTTCAATAACTCGACCGATTTTTAAAAACGAAGCCGGAAAGTATAGAGAATAGAAAGCCCTTTTCATTGCGATACGACTTGACCCCCCTTTTCATTTGAAAAAAGTTGGGGGATGACACCCCCGCTCAGAGGGTTTGGTTTGGTTTGGTTTGGTTTGGTCCCCTTCACAAACAAAATTGACTTTTTTTTTTCGATGGGCCACCCTGTATAATCTGATCTGTATTCTGTGAAGCCGAGGCTATATAAATTTTCTGAAGGAATTTTAATTGATTTTAACGTGTAAGACAGTGAACTGCTGCTAAACGAGTATTAAGTACCTGGGTGAAAATTAAAATTTCCAGAAGTATTTTTGAAAATTTTAGGCCGTATATACCTCGAGGGGTTTTACAAGAGCGTCCATAGGAAAAATTCTCATTTTTTGGGACTAAAACGATTGTTATAATCCCGTCCTCATTGTAATATTAGTTTAGGAATATACCATCTCTAATAAAAACCTTCATACCTTTGAGGTCATAAACGACCCTACAATATAATTTCTATTCGATAACTATTACTTTTGGGAATTTTGATCATAAATTTATATAGCTTTCGCAGACGTCTGTCTATCTAAACAATGTAAATTTAGGGCAGTGTCGTCCACTGCTCTGAATATTAGATTTAAGGATATATAAATTGTACTGTACGCCTCTAGCATTTCTGTAGCTTAAATACTATTTAAGGAACTGCAAGACAGGCCCTCATACTTTTTTTTGCTGAAACCTTCTTTTGCTCTCAACACTATTTTGCTTTTGTTCTTCAACTCTCTTTTTACTCTTCAACACGTTATTATTTTTCACAGTTTCCCTCAGGGTAACTATTGTAATTAGTTCATCATAATTAAAGTTAAGTTATATTAAAAAACAACAGTGTATAGTCTGTAAAACGAATAACTTTGAATTTGACAGTTCCCGCGGGCTTTTCTAGTGTTAATTTTATTAGGTTAGCAACTTGCGGCCATGCTGACGCAATGCCGTCGCTAATAGAACAGCCTCGGAGTGAGATTTATGACGTCACGCTATTAGATACCACAGATTTATAAATATGTTGTAGAATACTTAATATATGTGTACGAAAACATAATTATCTCGTATTTTTAATTTGTATTTTAAAATGATATAGTTTACATGAAATATACATAATATACAGTTAATAAATACAATATATATATACCTATTTATAGTAATAAATACTTTGGTAGATAAACTATGAACCATACAAAAGCAGCAAATGCTTGCCAATATGGTTGAAATCGTAATTCCATAGTCAATGTAGATGTTTTGTGTTAAGAATAATAATTTAAAATATATGTAAAAAAAAAAAAAGTTTATATTAGTTTATTAATTGCAGTAAACATTATAATATATAAAAATAAATTTTGTTAATGCAACAATAATACATCAGTATTATATAACTTACTATTCACTACTGTAATCACTATTTATGTAGATATTGAATGTTTTTGTTAAATTAGATCGATTTTCAAACCCCCAAAATTTAAAATATATTTTACATTTTACCCATTATCTTATGTACTGCCTATTCATTATTGTATATTTAAAACATTTGCTGCATTTGTATAGTTCATAGTTTTATTTACAAAATATTTATTACTATAAATAGGTATATATTATATTGGATTTATTAACTCTATATTAGTATATTCTTATGTAAACTATGTACTATGTATACTCTGTATATAAACATCATTTTTAAAATACGAACCAAAAATACGAGGATAATTATGTTTTCCATGTATCTCTACAACAAATTTATTAACTGTAGTATCTAACCAGCGTGACGTCATAAATCTTGCCCGTGGCTGTTCTATTAGAGACGGCATTGGTTTAATATTTAGAAATGTCAAAAGTTGATGATGATTTTTTACTTTTGTCAATTATGACATTTCGTGTTGATTTGCAAGAAGAGGAAGAACTGTCACTGTTTTATTATTTTCCTTTATTTCACGAAAGTAAAAAAGAGTTACCTATATGATTCGTTCAGGCACTCAATTTAAAGAAGATTCAGCAACTTTTTTTATTAGAGGGATTTATATTTGCTATGTTGGTAAAAATAACGGTCAAAATTCAAAGCGCCCATTTCTGGCAGACTATACCTGGTTATTAATTCCACACCCGAAAAGACCCTCAACAAGTTGGCGCTACTGAACAGGACCACAACACGATATTTATTAATTTTATTTAAGAACTTTGTCTTGTGTATTCATGTTTAGTATACAATTTTGTGTTGTTTGTATTTTCAAGTATCTTTTTATACCCCAAGAACGACTAAAGCCGGGACCCATTAGGCCACACGCCATGCGACGCTACGTTATCCCACGTGAGCCCACGTGTGTCCACCTGATGCGACGTGGGAAAAAGTGTACACATGAGATCTGGGACAGACGACACACGTGTGATAGCGTGGAGTGGCGTGTTGCCTAGTGGGTACACAATACATGCAATTAAATAGCAAAACATTAGCCCAGATCTTTATGACGTGGGGTGGCGTGTTGGCTAATGGGTTTCCCGGCATTATTTTAGCACATCTTAATAAAAATACCTACGTGTTAAAATCTAATGATAAGTGAATCTAATCTACCGCGATTTCTACCGAATTTTGACCAAGTTTTCTACCGAACATAAAATTTTGGTAGGGCAACACAGCCGACTAGAGCTATACAGCAGTTTACAGGCTCTTATCGCTTCTCCGAAAACGATAACAAAAAACATGGGTGGTCAGCAATGTTCATTTAAATAAGCGGCGAAAGCACGGGCGCCGCCGTCGCTGTCAGCAGGAAAAAGGATTGTGCCACTTGAATTAATATGATATTTACTTATTATTTTTACAGAAAAATATTAAGTCCTATTAAACATTATGTAGCTTACTTACATTATTTGGTTAAGAATATCAAATTTTAAAGCGTAATCCATATTAAAATAAAAAATATTGCTACGTTTCGTACTTGCCTGGTTCTATCTGGTTTAATTTTTCTTCCTCTTTCATAATTTTCTCTCGAATTTCTGACACTACTTCTTCCCCTTCCCTCTTCAATGTTTTCACTTCTTCCATTTTAATTATTAATACACAACCGTTACACAAATGTTTCACTCACTTATTACTCAACTGCTTCTCACCACAGTCTGGCTTAAGTATGAAAGAAATAAGATGGCAAGAAGCAGAAAGTACTTAAGTAAGAAGTTTAAAATGGCGAGTTAACGATCAGCAAACCCAGTGTTGCCACTACCAAAATTGTATTTTCCGTAGATAACTTTTTACTTTAACACGTATTTTTCAGACGTTCCAAAAGTAATTCGTTTTTGGGGTATAAAAGGCACCGTATGATCGAATAAAAACGGCGTCAGCGATGGCTATGAAACAAGATCGTCATTTTATATGTAAAATTATATGGAAAATGTCATCGATCGTCATTTAAAGCCAATTGACGCCGTTTTTTCGATCATACGGTACTTTTAGGTATAGAAAAATACAAACAACACAAAATTATATATTAAATATGAATACACAACTTCAGTGAGTCCAAAATTAGAATTTTGGGATCAGTATTAGACACGCTTTGCAAAGTTCTCCCAAGCTAAAGCAAGCCTTTAAAATTATTCAATATTTTTCACTGTTGGTAATTTAATTTCATCACCCAGGTAC